CTAATAGAACGTGATGACACAGAAGAACTCATCCACAATATCTACCGCCCCCTGCCATCAGCTCCTATGGAGGATCTGTCTCCATACTTACTGATTGTTCGGAATTATAAACATGAGCGTAGTTCATCTGTTAATATCACATGCACTTTTTAGTTTGTTGTTTTTTTTAGTTTGTTACTCAGACGCAGGCAGTGCGCTGCATGAGACAAAAAAGGAATCTAGCCAAAACAACCGCATAGCCGCTCTTTAGTGTAGATGCATGTTGATTTTATCAGACGATGCTGTGATTATAAATGAGAGTGACTCCTGGTTAACATGTATTAAAAGGGGTTGTGTTTAGTTTAGTGTGGTATTTTTTGACAATATTCACTCATCATGACAGTAATATAGGGCATTCTAAGTCAATATACTGCAGTGTTTCCTCTCTCAATCAGTAGAAAAGATGGTTAACACCCGGTCATGCAAGAAAAAAAATACCGTCACGTACCGGTATAATTATGAAAAATATCGTGATATATATTTTTGGTCATACCGCCCAGCACTATTTAAAAGCGTTTCTCCATCTCTCTTCTTTTATTGGTCTTTAGCTAAATAAATAGAATTAATTATTATTGTATCATAGTAATGTTCTTCCACCTGTTAACAATTATGTGAGGTTTACAGTTTAATTCAGTATGGCATGTTTTAAGTAGGAAATTAAATAATATAGGCCTAATTGTTATAAGCATAAAAGCTTATGCTTTAACCATTAAAATATTACATTTTAATTGATTGTATCAACTGCAAATCAATTTAAATATCTGCTGAATACATTTTAGGTTATTGTGGAATATTGCATTATTTAACTGTATGGCACTTTGGAAATCTTCAGTGCCATTCTGGTTATAAAAACTTTTTTTATTTGTCAAAATCTTGATTTCTGTAAAGCGACATGAAAAAGACACTCTTATTAAAAAATAAATTAAATTACTATTTATTATTAAATGCAAGCCAATTTAAACCAACAAGTCAAGCTGACTGAATACTGCCTGTGCACATAAGCCAGTCGGTGTCCAATCTTCCACTAAAATAAATTATTCACTGTGTAGAAGGGAGCTTCCTGATTGGCTCCGAAATGTTACAGATGCCACTTGATAAGAGTTGCTCGAGAGTGAGACGTGTTTACCGTGAACTCGTTACGGTAACGGCGAATTCGTGTCCACAGTAAGCGTGGCGTCTCCGAGAACTGCTGGTTTGTGTTTCACCG